CCAGCTAGCCATAAGGAGGAGCTGGATGTACCAGGTGGCATCTAACTCTGATTAAACCTTACTCTGACATGGAGGAGGTTCACGATTCTCCAAAATGAGGATGTGGTAGTTTGGATCAGGTGAGCAAATTGTCTGCCATATAATACACAATTTGCCATATAATTGACCCAGACAAACTCATTACAGATCCTGGTTGAGATGGCCAGACAGGCACACTAAATCTAGTCAACAGCTCTTCAGAAAACTTTAATGTTAATAGTCTTTCCTCATTTCATTTGGTAATTCAGGGAATAAACCCTGAATTTGCAGAGCATTTCTAAAAAAGCATTGTGTATGAGGCACTGACACCTATTATCTGTAAGTTCGAAATTCTTGAAGTTCTAGCTGGTGACAGTAATTTCTTGTACTCACCCAGAGAATGATGCTCCTGAGTGTGTCTTCACATTTCAAGTGTTTGACCCTTCCTTGATTCCCAAGTAGCTGATGAAGTGTTACTGCTTTCAAGTGCCCAAGGCTGGAGGATAGGATTTGGCATCTGACTTGCAAAGCCACTGATAAATTTTGGGGTTCCTCTGAAATGATTGTAAATCAACTGGTCTGGGTTCCCACCCCCCCCCCCCCCCCCCTTTATTAAGTCTTTGTGCTATAGTGGAGATGTGACTCTGTCTTCTTGCCCTGAGTGAACAGGCTTTCAAATTCTTTGCTACACACACAGTAAGACAATGCTCCAATGGGACAGTGCTAACAGGCATGGTTTGTCAACCAATTTTTTAACAAAGCTCACATAATCTGTTGAAAATAGGAACTGGCTCAGGCCATAAAACAGTATTGCAGGGATGATTTTCACTTGCAACTAACCAAAAATGCATCAACATGATGATAGTTTATTCAACATATTTATTTCATCCCAAGTTCATTTTCTTGGCTGTGCTGGAGATGTGTGCATGCCCTTAATTAATTACGTACAGCTGTCTTCTGGACCATTTTTGGATGCTCTCCGGAGTCTGGAAAATGGCCATTGAATTGCATGACCCACTGTCAAGCTTTGCCACCAGCCACGACCAGCACATGAAGGAGGCAGCGTTTGCCCTATGACTTAATAGGGACATGCAGAACTGCAACGGAGATAGAGAAGAGAGGATTTCCATAGTCAACGGATGGTTGTACAGGGAATTCATAGCACACTGGTCCTTCACTCATGTTGAGCTTTCTCCTCTTCGCAGTGAAGTTGGTCAATACTAAAAAAAGTTTTCCACTTCCACAGCCCCAGGGACACCTTGTCATGGACAGCTCTCACACCTCCCTGCTCTTGCTGAGCCGTGTTTCAGATGATGAGCAGTCTGTCTCAGGGCAGCAGTTTTGGCTCAGGAGGCAGAGCCCCTTCTCCCCTTTCCTCTTGCCCTCTGCACTGCTGCCTGCCCAGTCTCCCTTCCCAAAGCTATCGCACTTCCCAGGCACCCAACCTCCCGGTTGTCCCTGACTCCTTTCCCTCTTCATTCCTTACATTCAGGTTATCACTTAATTTTCTGATACTGCCTTGACATTTATGGTCTGTCTCTGCTTTTCCAGCCCTTTGGTTTAAAAGCTTTATCCAAGCCATCATTCCTTGAAGATAATAATAAAAATTGAAAACAACTGTTTGGTTCTCAGCTCACAATAGCACAAATCACAGGAGAAAGGGCACTGAAGGCAACAGGGAGACAAGCAGAAGGAAGAACCAGACTCACAGCTTCAAACTGCTTGTTTTCCCTTATTCATACTTCTGTCTCCACAGATCCGGCAAGATGGCATAGGAAATCAATATTCATTTGCTGTGTTCTGTTTCTGCATTGTTAAGGTAAGACTCTTCCTTCTGCTGAATGACATACACCTTTACCTGTAGTCAGGCAGGTACTGAAACACTTGGATGTGTTTACAAGGATAATTGGGACTGTATAACCACACAAGACTTCTGATAAATAATAAAGCTAGTTCTGAGATTTGCTGGTCAAGGCTAAATCCTGTTTGCTTTAGTTGTGAGTATGACCCCTTTGATGAAGCTGAGCAGAAAGGTAATGGCACTACTTATACAAGAAAACTAACCAAGTTTTCTTGACAGACAAGTTGTGCACTACAAGAAAGTTACTCTATTATCAGAGAGGAAGACCATGCTGCTTTAAGGCCCTGTTTCTGGAAAAGTTAGACTTTCTGACTTTGCTTTGTACTGTCATGTTCATTACTCATAAATATATGAAGTGCTTAATGACCAGACATCTTCCTGAGAGGTATGCAGCAATGCACTTATTAATGCCAGAAATGTTTGTATTCTTGTTATGCCTCAGAGATGTCTTCCAAAACTCTTAACCTTCCCCCCCCCCCTTTTTTTTATATTCCTTTTTTAATTTTCCTTTTTTTATTTTCTTCTCCTTTTTCTTTTCATATTTAATTTTTTGTTTTCTTTTTTCTTCTTCTTTTCTTTTTGCTTTTCTTTCTCTCTTTTTTCTTTTTCTGTTCTTTTTCCTTTTTTTGTCTTTCTTTTTTTTCTTTCCTTCTATTTCTTCTTACTCTCTTTCTTCTTATTTTTCTTCTTCTTCTCCTCTTTCTTCTCCTTTTCTTCTTCATCCTTTTATTTTGTTTTTCTTTTTCTCTTTTCCTTCCCTGCTTTTTTATTTTTGTGTATTTTTTAACCCCCCCCTTCTTTTTTTCCCTTTTCCTCCCTTTTCTCCCCCTCTTTCCATCTCCCCCAGCGGCCAGTTTACCACTCGCAAGAAGAGCATGTTCTTCTGCAGGAGACCGTTTAACATCTCTCAAGACGGTGGAAAAGGCACCTCCTCGACCCGCCAAGAAGAGGACGCCGCTCTTTCCCGGCGCCAACCGGCCCAAGGCCCGCGGCAGGGAGAGCCCCGGTGAGGATGGCGAGCGACTGGTCCGGGGAGGGGTCTTCCCATCGCAGGGATGCAGATGTCGGCAGGGCGGGGTGGGACACACCGAGGGCCCTTTCCAGCCCTCCTGCCCCTCGGTGGGACTATGTGCGGGAGTACTGCTGCCCTCTCCTGGGGGGATGAAGACAGGCCCTGCCTGCCTGCCTGCCTGGCCTCCTGCCTGCCCTATTCCCCGATGCCCCCCTGTCTGCCTATCTGCCCGCCGCCCATCCTCAGGGTGGTGCAGTGAGGGGCAGACGGGCCCTATGGCCCCCAGCTAAGCAGCTTCAGGCTTTCAAATGGGGTGGCCTTGCCCGATGAGGTCTTCAAACCAGCAGGAGATGTGCGGGAGGGTATTGTCTGGCTTTGACCAAAACCACAGACAGGCCTGCTCAGGGACTGGGCAGTAGGGCTCAGGAAAGTCCAGCACCCAAAACAGGGCCCTCACCCTGATCAATCTGCAAGTGCAGGCAATCTGGCACATTCCTGACCATGCTGTCATTCTCTGTGCCATAATCATTACATTATTTTCATTAGTTTTCCTTCATTACTTTGAAAGACATTTCTTCACAGCTGAGTTATTCAGCCCACTCAGAGAAGTCAGATGCTCTCTGCTGGTCACTCTTTGCCTCCCCGATGGCATCTTTATCATCATCACCTTTGCTGATGTGTTTTCACCTGACAGCACAAATCCATCCTGGACACTTCCATGGTGTGATGTTTACTGGAAGACTGGAACAAGCTAACACCCAGGAGGCCCAGGTGATATTGAGGTGGGTACAGCTGGGTGCACAGGAAGCTGGTTCAAGAAGCGCTGAACTCCTGGCAGCTGCCACAACTGTCATGCCACCACCAGCCAGTGCTGCCTCCTGTCACCAGTGTCACGTGTGCAATACTCAACCAGATGCAAGAAGTGGATGAGGCCATTCCTGCTCAGCTCTGTTATTCCCAAGACACCATGGCACGGGGTTGGGGAGGTCTGCTCTGCCTCTCCAATGTATATCTGACCAGAGCACTAAGAAATCCTAACTCAGGAAAAAGCTTTAGTCAGATGGAACAGGCATGTGGGCAAAGTCCTGCGAAACAGAATGGTTATTAGACAGCCTGGCACTTCCATCCCTGGAAGTGCTCAAGGCCAGCTTGGATAGGGCTTTGAGCAAACCGGCTTAGTGGAAGATGTCCCTGCCCATGGCAGGAGGGTTGGAATGAGATGATTTTTAAGGTTCCTTCCAACCCAAACCAGTCTATGATTCTGCTATTCTATGATACAGCCCCTGGAGAAGGGGTTACCTGCTGCTGTACTCACTCCTGTTTTTCTTTGGTGGCTGTGGTTTTATCCAGAAGTGGCCATGGGACAGTCTGGGGCCAAGTACCAACAAAGGCGTCCAGTGTGAGGTAAAACATTGGAAATATTTTGCCTGCAGAAAGATGTTATTTTCCTCCCTTGACAACTTTTTTTCTAATTGTTGCTGTATTTTCAGCATATTTTAAAGTCACTTCACATACAACAGATACTTTCAAATCCCCTTTTCATAGAATCATAGAATGGTTTGGGTTGGAAGGGACTTTAAAGCTCATTCAGTTCCAACCCCCTGCCATGGGCAGGGACACCTTCCACTAGACCAGGTTGCTCCTGGTCCCCATCCAACCTGTCCTTAAACACTGCTAGGGATGGGGCAGCCTGTTCCAGTGGCTCACCACCCTCACAGGGAGTAATTTCTTCCTTCTATCTAACCTAAATCTACTCCCTTTCAGTTTAAAGCCATTATGCCTTGCGAGAGTGGAGCAGAGGGCCAGGATCACCTCCCGCGACCTGCTGGCCACGCTTGTTTTGATGCAGCTCAGGACATGGCTGTGTTCCTGCGCTACAAGCGCACGCTGCCGGGTGATGCTGACCTTGTTCCGCACACCCACGCCGCACAGAGCACAGCGGGAACCCGGTACACCCGCAACAGCACCAGACGCACGCCGCTGCAGTCCCGCCCCGATGGCCCCGCCCATTGCCCCGCCCCTCCCGGCCTCAGCAAATGAGCCGCTGCGAAAGAGGCAGGGGTAGGCCGCTTCTTGGTGCGGCACTTCCGGTTCCTCGGCGCGGCTGTTATGGCGCCGCTGCTGTGGCAGGTGCTGTTGCCCGCCCTGGCGCTCGCCCTCGGCCCCTCGGCCACCGGAGGGTCGCGCCGGCTCCCGGCGCTGGAGGCGCTGGGCGAGGCGGAGGAGCTGGCGGAGGAGCTGTGGGGGGCGGGGCTGCCCGGAGACCTGCCCGAGCTGGAGCCCGAGTGCCGCCAGCTCCTCGCCGACTTCGCGGAGGGCAGCGCGGCGCTGACGGGTTGCCTGGGCCGCAGCGCCCGCCCGGTGCGGCTGTGCCAGGCCTGCCATCCCCACTACCGGCACCTCCTCGCACAGTACGGCAACATCGCCCGTGCCGTTGGGGTGCGTCCAGGGGGCCGGGCGGGCGGGTGAGGGGGCTGCCAGGCTGCTCTGGGCTGGAGGGGGGCAGTGCGCGGCTGTTCCCGCTGCACTGGGGCCGGGCTGGGGGCCTGGACAGCCTCTTTGAGGCTTCCAGGCAGGTAAGTTCTGTGCCAGCGCGCCGCTGGGCCCTACGCAAATGGCTGTGAGTCCCCGGCAAGGCAGGCGGGCGGGCCCCATGCCGAGAAGCCGCTGCTTCGATGCCCCTGCGGGCTGTTAATGGGTATCTCTCCCGGCTCCGGGCCCCGGCGGCGTGCTGGGGTGAGGAGGGGTGGCGTGTGTCAGGCCGGGCCTGGTGTGGCTTGTGGTGTGACCTTTGAGACGCCGAGAGCAGGGCACCCGTGTTCTGAGTAAGCGGATCTCCAGCCTGCAAAGCTTAATTCCCAGACTGCAGGTGTGTAAGGCAGTTTAGCAGGGGCTGGGGGTGTTTGGAAAACACTGCTGTCAGTGACAGCAGACTTCTGCGGCCTGAACTGGAACCAGTCAAAGCGTGGTCTGAGCCACCAGCCTGTGGCATGGTCTGGGGCAAGTTGCTCCACCTGCAGAAAAAAGGCTGTGTAAGTGGAAAAACTTGAGTTGTTCTTGCTGATGTAGCAGTGGCTAAAGCAGCACTCTGGCTCACTGGTTGTATATAGCACCAATGAGGAGCACTGCCAGAGCTCAGTTGCCTGGTACTTTTTGGAAAATTGGTGGTCCTGAAGCTGTGGCCAGTGATGCACATTATGTCTGGGGAGCTGTGTCACACTGGTTTTGCCGCCAAAGCTGATGGGAGTGTGTGGCAGCAAAATAGGAAGTCCTGTGTGCTGGCTGGAGTCTGTGGATCCCACCAGTGGGAAACCTTGGCTGAAGCTGGGTCTTCTGTTTACATTCTTCAGACTCTTGATCATTAGACCAAAGAACCTTTGTCTGTTCTGTGATAATGGCTAGAAGGGGGTGCCCTGGTAAGAGGACAAGCGGAGAGCAAGTTTATAGTTCCGTGGATTATGCTTCCAGTCTTGGGATTTCTGAATCTCTATTTAGAATTGCTACTGACAAGAATAATTTGTTGTCCTTTAAATCCGGGTAAACTCTGGAGCTGCAGTGTCCTGCTGCAGGCCATTTTGTAGCTCAGTTACCTGATGTGTGAAGAAGTGTCATTCTGGCTTTGATGTGTTGTCTGCTCACTTACCTACGCCACCCCAGTGCTTGTATTGGAAAGCGCATGGATGTTCGTTTGATAATTGTGCTCTCCAGGGCAAGCATCTTGCCAGTGCTCTCTTCTTTCAGTTTGTAAACCTGTAGTTGTTTTATTTGTTTCTAATATGGAACCTGCTTCATATCAGTGACTAAGTAATGGCAAAGTGAGAAACTGAGTATGTAATTCCCTTGGGTATTTTCAGCATGATGTTTTGGCTGGGATTAGGTTGTCAAACATATTCCAGTATTTGCAGTACTTACGAATTCATTACAGCTGCTGTGCTTGAGTAGTGGCAGCCTGGGAGGACTGGTCCCCTGTGTGGTCTGGAAGGCACATCTGTATTAAAGAGCATTTGGCTTTCCTTCTGTGTGTGGTTTAAGTAACCAAGTAAATAAAGGAAGTGAGCTCTTGCAGCCTCAGTCCACCATCACAAGTAATCAGATATCTGATGGTTTTATCTTTGCCATCCTACAGTGGATATAGTGCAGCATGAAAGTAGCAGCCAAGTTAAGTTTTGGACAACCCTGAAATGTCAAATCCTCCTCAGCTAATTGAAGAAATAAATTACCCATGTGTATTTAAGTCATGATACAGGCCTACTTGCTTCAGTTTTGGATTTAAAGTGCTTTTTCCCCACTCATGAGTTCATCTGGTGAGGAAGTTTCACAGTTAAGTCTTTATGAAGCAACTGGAGAGTTTTTCCACATACACACAAACGTGCAAGAGAGTTGTTCAAGTTGATAGAAATGAAATCAGGTGAATATCAGAGTTACCAGATGTGGCAATAGTCTAGTTCTGCAGCTGAGTCTCAAGGCAAACTTCCTATTTAAAAAATAAGCCTATTTTAACAAAGGGAGGCAGAAACTGAATCTCGAAGCTCTGTAAATAGGAACATCTCTTCCATTAAAGAGATTATTTTCTTCTATGTCCCACATCACTTATCAAAGAGGCTTTTGACAGCTTTGGCAATTTTGAGAAGTGCTTAAGTCAACTTAGCAGCCAGAAACCGGGAGCTAGAGCACAGGAGTCAGCTGACTGGAGGTCATGGCTTTGTATTGGTGATTTGAAGGAGAAAATAAAGCTTTGAGGGAGAAAAACACTGTTGTGAATTCTGATAGGAATACTTTCTGTTTGTTCTGTAACTGCTTTTATAGTCGCTCTGCGTTGTTTTATGAGCTTGGTCCAGAGAATAAGTTGCTGTAAGCGTTGTGCCAGTGCCTGCTTTGAAGATGGGGCTGGGAGGTGTTGGGTGGCTGGTTTAGACAGATGAGCTACTACCTGTTTTCTTGGGAGGACAAGAGCCCAGCTTGGCCACAGGCTGGTGGGTGCCACCACAGAACACTGTGCTCCTGGTATTGCTGCACTGGGAGGAAGCTTGCTGCTGATACAGCACAGTGGTACAGGGGTTTCACAGGTTTTCTGCTGTTTGGGTTTGCTTTATTTTGAGGCCAGTCCCTTGGTTCAGCTTCTTCAAATGTTCCTTCAGTCCAATAAGAACACCACCATCCTTCTCTCTGACTGCGTCTGCCTTGGGTGGGCTTCTGAGGCAGCAACCCAGAAGTGGATGGGGATGAGCTACCTGGCAGAGTAGGACCTGCCTTTGTGCTGGTCTTTTATTTGTTCTTGACTGACTTGTATACAGTCTTAGTAGATCTTCAGAGACCATGTGCAGTGAGCTATGCTGCTCATAGTATGAATTGGAAGAACAAGAAACTTTTATTGTTCCATCAGTTGCTCTGCCTGTTCTAGAAATGTTTGTGATTTTTTATCTGTGATTGCCTATAATACATTTCAGAATTTTCTCTTTGTATTGCTAACACCTGACTGCTTTCTCTGTTGTTTCCTTTTTCTCCCAGAATTCTTCTGAGAGCCACAATTGTGCCAAAAGCATCTTGACCTCAGACAGGCTGCAAATAGTTGTGACCCTTTCTGACTTCTTCAATGAAACCTGGGAGGCAGCCAACTGTCCAAGTACGTGACTTCTTCTGTAGCTTTCATGCTACTGTTATGACGTAGTTCCTGAAATTTGTGCTGATCAAAATTGTACGTGCTTGTTTAAATACAGTCAGTAGGTAACACAAAAATTCTGAACTAAAGCCACTCGAAGGGTACAGGAGCTTTTTATTCATTGAAGGGTACTGCCAAAATCCAAGGGCACTGGCCTGTCAGAGAACTTAGTTGTTACATGAAGATTTATTTTATACTATTCTTTCAAAAATTAGTCTTCTTCATTTTCTTTGTGACCTACAGACCTTACCAGAGACTTTCCTGGGCTTCATTGCAGTTTCTTCTCCATCTTCCTCTTTTTTAAAAAGACTTGTATAAGAAACTTTTATCTGTTAGTAAAGTCAGTAACTTTGGGATACTTACGTATGTTGAACAGCACCTGGCTCCACAGCCGTGCTTTTGATTTCATTTTATGGGTGGAGTGTGTCCAAGTCTGTCCCTGTATCTCCCTGTGCCCATGCTGGTGGTGCTGTGTCGTGCTTACAGCTAAATTGTGGCTTTTTTGCCATTCCCCTGGTGTGGGAAGTGGGACCCTATGCTGGAAAACAGGGGGAGTAGCACTATGGAGTTGAGTGTTAAAAGATACTGTGTTCGCTGCAAATTCCTTTGAGAGCCCAGAAGAGTTTTTCCTTTGTTGAGGGCTGGAAAGGCAGTACAGGAGCAGCACTGTGGGCTGTGCCGTCCTGCCGTGCTTAATCTGTGACCTGTGTGCTGCCTGCCTGGTGTCCAGCAGAATGCTTGCCCTCAGTACTGATGGCGCTTCCTTCTTTCAGGAGAATTTTATAGGATGTTGGCTTGCTCTCACGGTGCTGTTGCTGAATGTTGAAATTCCCAAACCACTGTTGTTTTCAAGTGTCTGACTGGTTAGAACACCTGAAGTAGGGTGGGGTGAGGTGGCTGGAAGCAGTAACATGGTAGGGTTGAGCCCATGTCTGGGAGGAAAGCCCTAGAGGTCCCCTCAGAGCTGGTGAAATGGTCAACTCTTTTCTTAAACAGCAGTAACCTGCACTCTGTTTTTTATTACTGTGTTCATGGTCTAGCCGTTTCCTGATGCTCTCTGTTTCATCTTCACTACTGGTGCTTCTGCTTTCACAAAATGGCTGTTACTGTTGCTGGGCAAAGCCAGATTTGCGGGCTGGAAAATAAGAGTAATGTCTTGTTTTATCTTCAAGTCCAAAGATAATTCCAGTCCCCTCTTCAGAAAGCTCTTGATGATAGTCTTCATCTTTCACTTAATCAAGGCCAATTAATTCTGAAATATGTTCTCGATGAAGAGTTAGGTCAGCAGGTCTGAGACATCAGTGGCAGGCAGATAAGAAAACCACAGTGTTGACTAGAGCTCTTTTTTTTGCAGGAGTGGAGTATCTGAGGCTTGTTGGCTATGGAATGTTAGAATATCTTGATGTTTTTCTTTCTCTTTGACAGATTGTTTAAAGAACAACAGTGAGGGATTATCAGATTCTACTGTAGAATTCCTGGATTTATTCAATAAATCTCTGACATGTTTTGAACATAACCTTCAGGTAATTTATGCTGTGTACTCGAGAGAAGCACTGAATCCTCTAATTGTTAGCAAAATCTTACTTGTGCTGAATAAACTGCAGATAAAGATTAGGCAAATAAATTGCTGGTGAGTTGAGAATTTTAGGCAGATAAAGCAATGATCTGTTAAACACAGTTGTCTACAGATTGAGAGCATCAAATTGATTGTAATTGATATTCACCTTGACTTAATTTTACATGTAATTGCAATGCTACTTCACATCAGAATTTCTGAATTCACAATAGTTGATAATTATATAGTAAAACCTGGCAAGTCTGCATGCTGTCTCTTTTCCTATATCTTTGTGGAACTGTTGTCTTCTACCTTAATTCAATCTTTAAATAACCTTTTGATAATATAGACTAGTTCAGAAAGACCAGCTACCTCAAATTGTTATAACAATTCCTTTGACTAGTAAAATTATGGGTAGTTAAAGTTTGTCCATATTGCAGAGGCAGTATAACTTAGTGAAATAAATGTGGTAATTGTCCTTAAAGAAAATCACCTAAATAGCCTAAGAAACTGTGCATATTCCATTTTAAACAGAAACTAGACAAGTTCTAGAGTTGTTCAGTAGTAAAAATGGGAAATGATGTGTGTAGGCTGATCTCTGAGGAAACTGTTGGGGTTTTTTAATCATTAATGATTTCTAGGAAATACCTCTTTTGTCTTTGTTTGGGAGCAGTGTGGACTGGCCTGCCGGTCAAGTGTCTGAACTGGAACTTAACTCAGTGGTTGATTAGTAGCTGGTACAATCATTACTGGGTTGCAGTATCTGTCCCTGTCAATATAGCTCAGTAGTTGCAACCTACCAGTTGTTAGGTATGGGCAAATAAAACCAAAAAGACAATGAAGGAACACAATAGCTCAGGCTTCAGAGTAACATTCAATTACTAGTAAGTTATTTTTTCTTCCTGAGTACCGGTATTGTAAAAATGAGTGTTTAAATAAAAAACCTCACTGCTAGTTCAAAGAACAATTTGAGATGTTGAACTTGCAGGAAATGGGACTTGTCCCTACTGAATTAGGGTTGGTCCCTTTTCCTCCTGCTTTCTTGTGTGAGTTTTCCATCTGGGCTTCTACTCAATCTAGGATGCTATAAATCAGGATTTCGGTTCAAACTCGAGTCTAGATTTTAAGTGATGGCTTTTTTAAGTTGTTTTTTTTATTTATTTTTTGTTTTAAATAATGCATTAAAACAGCATGTTTACAGAGATTTATAACCCTAGGGACAAACCATCCATCTGTCACCAAATAACTACACAGAAGTATGTAAAAACTGCAACGAAACCTACAAGATGTTGAATGACCTGTATAACAACTTGCAAAGATTGAACAGGCAAGGTGGTGAGTCTGGGCACTCTGCACACTTGTGTATCGACGTGGAAGATGCAGTAAGTATTTATTAATACTCGACAGGGAGACCTTATTGCGGAGTTCTTCATTAATCCGTCATTTGTGCTTGTCTTGCTAGGGATTGCCTTTTCCCTTTAGGCTTGCAGCAGTGCCTTTGACAAGCTCATGTCCTGTGGGGGAAAGTTAGCTTGTGGGGCTATCTTGGTCTTGTCCTCGGTCAGTGTGGCAGGAGTGTGACTGAAGCTTCTGGTCACCCAAGTGCATTCCCGTTTGAGTAGCTGCAATTCCATGTCTTGTTTCTGCGAAGGGGATGGATTTAAAGAAAAATAATCCCTTTATCTTCTGTGAAGCTTTACTGCTATTGTTCTGGCTAGCGTAATAATTGATTCTTTATTACAGCAGCTGTTTCTAGGGGTCCTTGGCATTGGCGACATGTTTGGAAACAGCTTTGTTATATTGTGGGGTTTTAAGTGGTTTGGGCAAAAGGAGTGCTGTTGAAAGCGTGGGATTAGCCCTGTCCCTGAAGTCTGTTAGTGAGTTCTCTGGGAAATGGGCATGTGTGATGTCTGTAGTGTTTCTGAGTACAGTCTGTTTTTGAAGCTTGTAAAAGTTTTGGTGTGAAGTTTTGGCTCATTTTAAATGTCTGTTTCTACATTTCTGGGGATTTTCTCGCTTCTGGGGGAGGTCTGTTAAAGTGTTGTTTTCTGAGATAATATTTGAACACTTGAATGTCTTGAGACCTGAATGTTTGCCATGCTGCACAGCAGAAGTGCATGTGCTTGCTTTCATGGCTTGCTTATGTGGTTTTTTTTTTAGATGAATATCACTCGGAAGCTTTGGAGTAGGACTTTCAACTGTTCTCTTCCCTGCAGTGATACAGTCCCAGTGATTGCAGTTTCATCCTTTATTCTCTTCCTACCTATTGTTTTTTATCTTAGTAGCTTCCTTCACTCAAAGCAGAAGAAGCGGATACTCATTTTGCGTAAGTGATGGTGCTGGCATTTCACTATGAGAGCTGGGTGGTGCCAGGGACTCACTTGGCTCTTGTGGGAGTGGGGGCCCAGCCAGATCTGCCTGCAGCTGTGCTGACGGCGCTAATAGCAACTATTAGTCTGCTGCTGTCCCCTGAAGAAGGGTAGTAAAGAGCTATAGCCATATCTTTTCATTAAAGTTTCTGGACGTGAACGGAAAGCTGTTTGCAAGTCTGTGTCGGATAAATAGAGGGAGTGGAGAGACTAGTTTTGTGGAATTCTTTGTGTTTAATTTTCATATAATTTTTCCCTTTCTAGCCAAGCGCATCCAGTCAAATGCCAGTCTTGTGAACATCCAAGAAAAATACAGCTGAGCTGCAAAACAAAACCTGAGAACTGCTGCTGGTATACAGTGGGTACAATTGTGTTGGAATGAGGCCGGCACAAAAGAGGAGTTAATTACGGTTTAGTGTAATGATACAGAGCAACACAAGTTAAACAAAATGCTGTCTGACTTCTAAGCGAGCATATTAACAAACATGACAAGGCAGGGCTGTGTGACACTGTATGGACTCTGGTTTTGGAAAATCTGTGGTTTTTTTCCTTTCAGTCTTGAGTTGAAGCTGGTTTTTCTGTTTCTAAGCTTTTGTACTTCTCATCAGTAGAGTAGCTGCACTTCTCTTGCATAGTCTTGTTTCATATTTATCTTATTTGCTTCCTAGAAACCTAAGATTCAGAATCTTTTTGAGGTGATTTTTGTAGACAGACAAAACTTGAAATAATATTTGATGTTCCTGCTTGAAACATTAGGTTAAATTCTCCATAACACTCAGTCTTGCCAGTCTTGGGAGGGACAGGAAATCTTTAAAAACATCCCCATCTTTCCTATACTCCTCTCAAGTCATGCTGCTGGTATCAGTTAAAAGAAAAGCAAAAAGGCATGAAATATGCAGAGAGAGCGATAAGATAGAATGTCTAAAACCAGTAACAAAAGCAAGAGAACTGCCAGTGCCGGACTAGAATAGTAATCATCGATGACTACAGTATTTGGTTATCTCTGAAACAGACGGCATATTTAGTTATTTGCACGCTTCAACCACTAAAATCATTGCTTTTCATATGTTAACTTTTCAGAGGCTTATTTTAGATGTCTGTTTGGGTAACCAAAAGCTTCACTCCTTGTCTGTTTATTGTGTCATTTCCTTTCCTTTTTAATTATAAAGATATTTTTTTGGTTTGGTTTTCTTGTTGTTTATGTAGAGAAGTGAGGTAGAGTCAAGTCACTGGAGATGCTGAATTTCTTCGTCTAGAGCTTGCTATGGCTTAATACTGAGGTGTGTTTACAGGAGCTTTGTAGGGGGAAAAGCTGCTTTTTCTGGAGAAAAGCTTCCTTTTCTAGGTAATACGTATTTAGTAGTAAATGAACCAGGGGGTTCTCTAACTTAAAAACTGTCCTGAAGGACAGTGAAGGTACTGTGTGGGGAATTGAATTTTCCAGGAATAGTTCTTACAAGGAAACAAGGCCTGTGAAATAGATGAATGTAAACAAATTCAAGCTTACAGGATTCCAAAGCTGATGGAGGAATGGGTACAATAACTGATCGGGCAATAAGCACTGGGTAGTGCTGCTGACAGGCTGTGGGTGCAATTCAGTGGCTGCAGCAGTACCGACGGTTCAGGCTGGTTATTATAGTACTGATTTGGGAGAGTTGAAACGATTTATAGCTGTAATTGAGGTTAATGAATGCCAGAGTCTTTGCTGCCTTTTTGAAATGGTTCTCTAAACTTGAGGTAAAAATGAATGGCTATTACAGCCAAAAGATTAGATTTCTCTTGGAATCTGCGTGTCTGATGTCTGTCAAAAACCACTATGGAATAGTCTTGTGTATTTGACTTGCTTTGGAGCCTACAATGTTAAATTTTATCTTTGCACTAAGGCTCAAATAAATGTGTAACAAGGTAACAAAACACTCCTAAAGCTCTTCAGATCATTGGTTTTCTTGTCCTTTTTGTGTTTTTACAGAGTTAGGACATGCTGACAGCTCTTAAGTCAAGTTGACAGTATGTTGAATATTGAGAAAAACACCATGTTCGTGCTTGGTCCCACCCATGATTGCCTTTTTGTATTTTATCAGTCAGAAGTGTTTATCTCCCTCTGTTGAACATATGAATTACTAGGTCAGCAGTCAGTTTGTTCTAGGCAGTTTACAACAATAACACAGAACTGTGTTTCTTGTGGTTATTATGTAAAGTTACCTTCTTGCGGCTGGGAGAGGCATGCTGCCTTTAAAAAAAAAAGGATTATTTTTTAGATCTATTATTCTTAAACTTCAACTTTCTGGGACTTATTCAGCTGCCTGCTTTAATAGCATTACATTGATTTGGGACATCATATGATTGAGAACTGGTCAAAGGATTCTTTCATTCGCGCATTTAAAGCCAGTTTATATGTGCAGCATTTCAGAATGACTGCTTTTATACTGTAAGCAGTGGCTTTTTGAGCACATTCACGTTAAGTAGGTCTGAAAGTCATTACTTTTGGATATGGTGGTTAAGCACTTTAAAAAAAAAAAGAAAAGAAAAAATTAAAAAATCAGCTTTTCTTATTTTGCTGGCTGCGGAGCCAAACGGAAATAGTCCTGTGGCTTTGGTTGGTCTTTATGGTAAAGCAACAGTAAAGTTTACACTTGAGATTTTTAATATTACGTCTACTATCTTCTCTTTTTTTTTTCCTTCAAACTTTTGTACTACTGGCTCTCTTTACACAGTGTTATGTTAGGCTATTTCATATATAAATTGCTTGAATTCTCTTTATACATGCTTTCCTAAAGAATGTGGAAGAACACAGACTGTGTTGAAGGAGTTAGAATTCTTTTTGCTGCTAGTCTTTCATCTTGATTTGTTTTTTGCCTTTTTGGTATTATATGTACTAAATAGGATGGACTTTGACATCCTGGTTGTTTGTATCTTTTTGTGCAAATAAAGATTTCTTACTGTGGGGTAGCATTTTGATTCGTATTTATACTTCCTAGGAATCCTCTAAACATGGAAAGTCGGCTCTAATAAAGATTGTCAATAAACTATGAACAGTGTGGTTACTTAATTGCTTCATTTCTAGTAGTTGCATACTCCTGCTGTTCTGGGTCTGTGTTCAGAAGCACCTGCTTATTATTCCTCATTATGCCATTTGCAGGAAAACTGCATCAGAAAGATGTTTTCAGAGCAGTGCTATGCTGAATTACGGAACAAATGAACTGCAACTACTGAGAAAGGCTGAAGTTTCAGCTCAGTCAGAGCTTACTGAAGTATATTGAAAGGTGCCTGGTAGTTGCAGCGGAGTTTCTTGGGGGTGTGTGTGAGTAAGGCTAGTGGAGATAACTTGCTGTCTCTAGGGGCAGGATTTTGGTTGCCTGCATTGTCAGCTTCATCAGGCATAGTGCTGGATTGCTGTTGAGCTGAAAGATTTCCTTAAAAATGGCAGCGCAGTGCCTCACTATGGAGAGAGCTGGGTGTCTCGCCTGGTGGCAGCAGCCTTGTGCACTAGTGGTAGGATGTGCATCATTTGCAAGGGGCTTCCAGGAAGGTTGGGGAAGTTGTAATGGCAGTGGGTGAGGTGCGGCTTAATCTGGAAAAGTAGGAATGGTTCTGGTTGCCTGTATGCTTGGGAGAAGGACTTGAAAGGGGGTAAGCACAGGAGAAGGGCAAGTGGGAAGTGTGGGGGATTTGCCCAATGAGTGGAGCAGAAGCTCAGAGCGTAACTGAGGGTGGAAATGTGGGGTTTTTTAAGCACACTTGAACAATGTATTTTTGAGGAGGCTGTTGCAGTTCATGGTTGAAAGATGCTGAGAAAAGAGGGTACAAATGGGGCCTTAATTGCAGCTGGGCTGGAAAGGGGGAAAACTGGCTCATTGGTGGAGGTGAGATTGGGGATTTGTAGCAGAGAGATGGAGCAGCTGAGCCCAGGTACCACACTGGTGTGTGATGGGACACGTGGGTGGACTGCCTGTACAGGTTGGGAATGGGAGCAAGTAGTAGGATGGCAACAGGGACTTGCTTCTGAGTTACTTAAAAGCAACTGCTTTCTTCTGGGAGGATACCAGAGTTGTATAATGCTGTTGAAGTGGATGGTTTTGAAGTAATCCTGGTTGAAAGGCTCTCCACAAAGCTTCTAGTTCAAGCTGAGGACTCCTGTTCAGCACTAAACAGGGGACTTTTTATTTAAAACAAACAAAACCCAGTTCTTTTGGGTCTTCAAGCCAAAACCCTTGGCTGCTTTTGGTTGTGTTGTTTTTTTTTGGGGGGGTCCCCCATCTTTATAAATGCCTGCTGCAATCACAAGATAGCTTCAGCATTCTATCTAGTACTTTGTTTCTGATGCTTACTGTCCAGCTAATTGAGTACCATCAAATCTTCTTGCATTTCTGCTAATTTATAGATGAGTTTTCATGTGCTGAATATGAAGTTTCTCTGGAATGATGAGCTCTGTGATTAGCAGAGTCACTGCACTCCTAATCAGAGCATGGGCAACTTACCAATATTTGTTCATATTTTGTTGTGAATTTTCCCTCTCGCGCTGGTGTAAGCATTTTCAGCCTCATCTTTGTGTTTGTGCAGGATGCACCTTTTCTATTTTTGCCAGTGTACAAAGTTACACATCAGAAGAGTGGAGTCTATACATGCTGAAACTTCTGTGAAGTGTTGCTTCTTGCATCATTGTGATCAGTGTCTGCTGCTACTCGCTGGAGTCGGCCAGGGTGATGCATGTGGGACTAGTACTCTTGTGTTGTTCTGAGAGTTGAAACTCAGTGTCTAGCTTGGAGATCATCATCTAATCTAAGGCATCCCCTGTGAGGATCAGGGCTTGTGAGCATGAGGCTGGTCCTGCCTGTCTATAGAGGGCCTCGTCCACTTGGTCTTCCTTGTTGCATGGCCTCACTATGTCACCTGTCCCTGCCCTCCCTTTAATCCTGACCCATATGCTCTTGGTTGGCTCCTCATCCATCCCCAGGCAGAGCTCCATGCACTCCAGCTGGTCATTGACACAGAGGATGACATCCAGTCTCTGTGTCGCCTGCCTGTCCTTTCTGAGGAGCCTGTATCCTTTGACATACATGGACACAGACAAACTGCTGATGCCTAGGGGAGGCCATTTGGCATTGGGGAGCACTTTGCTCTTTCACCTAAGCCTTAACAATGTTTCTTCCCCTCCTGCCAGCCCTACTTCAAGACCCTGCTCAATCAGGGTTGTCTCCAAAACTGAATCAAGTTGTTCCTACTAATTTCTGATCTGTGTCAAGGATAGTGCTGGGGAACTGGCAGTGTGGGGCAGTAATATAGGAATACTCTGTAGTATAGCTTTGGAAGGAGCCTGCTGCTTGAAGTGTGAGCTAGGTTTAGGCTTTTTCCCTTCTGTACAGCATCTTTGCAAATGGGATTTGGCAGGGATAGGGCTGATTGGGTGACAGGATGGCAGGGATGCTGTTGCAGTGTTTTGCAATGTTGGAGATGCAAAGTTCCATCAAGTAAACCACTAATTAGTTTTTAAAAGTAACAAGTTGTGATGGACGTAAGTTAAATGAACTCGGAAGTCCTCCCCTACTCTCATCTGAGGTGAAAATATTTGAAAGCTCTTTCAAATATTAAATGAAAGAGGGATACTGGCTCATGGCTCGATTGAAGTTTTAACTTCTAATACCAAAAGTTCCCCTCTGGTGCCAGCACAGTAAGTATCATGGATTGCTGCAATTAAACCAGTGCCTTAAGTTATTCATAATACCCTTTCTGGGCAGCATTCCCACCTGCTTAATCTGTGCTGTAGAGGCGTTTATTAGAACTGACTGTTGAAAACCGCCAAGCTAAATCAGACGCTAGAAGGAAATAAATAAAAAAATCAATATGATGCCCTTAAACTGGTTTAATATGTCTTTCCT